TGGAGCGGGCGGCGGAGTAACGCTAGAGGCGCCGCTCGCGCTCTGTCCGCACGGGGCGAAACGGGACCAAGCTGGACGCGCAGGCGCCGCTGCAGGGCGCGGAGGTAGCAGCTCCCAAGCGCGGGCCGGGGAAGCCCCCAGCGCTGCAGGGCGCAGCGGTCCCGCAGTGCTGCGCGGTGCCCTGGTGTGTGCCAGGGCTGGAGAGTCGTGTCACGCGCGTGCATTGCCACGCTCGTGTGTGCGCCTGTTTCACTGGCGAAACGGGACCAAGCTGGACGCGCAGGCGCCGCTGCAGGGCGCGGAGGTAGCAGCTCCCAAGCGCGGGCCGGGGAAGCCCCCAGCGCTGCAGGGCGCAGCGGTCCCGCAGTGCTGCGCGGTGCCCTGGTGTGTGCCAGGGCTGGAGAGTCGTGTCACGCGCGTGCATTGCCACGCTCGTGTGTGCGCCTGTTTCACTGTAGGGCGGGGTACTCCCCCCCCATTGTTTCCAAAGACTTCCCATAATAGGGGTCCTCGGGACCTTTCCTCTCAGGAGCATTAGCGCCGCCAGTGTGTGTTTGGCCCCCTACGAAAATGCCTTGTCCGTGTCTGGTGACAGCGAAGCGCAGCCCCGGGCAGCCTAGGCTAGTGAGTGGGCTGCATGGGTGGCCTCCTTCACCTCAGGAGGCCACAGGATTGTCGCAATTAGTTTTGCTGATTGCGCTTGAGTACCTCAAATGTCCAGGATGTGCGGATTGAATCATAGCGGTGCTCTGAATGCAGAGGGAGCGCAGGGACCTCCCAGTCAGCGTTATGTGCGGTCAGTACTCCCCTTGCGTTAAGTGCATGTCACTATAGCACTGCCAGTAGGGAAAAACAACACCCCTGTGCAGATACACAGTAAACACAATGCCTCGTGGGCCACAAACAGATCCCTGATGGGCTGAAGGTTGCTCACTAGTGGTAGTGAGAGTTAGCTAAGGGCTTGTCTACGGGCACAAATAATTCCTGGCACAAGGGGCTGTGAATCTGCCCTGCACTAACAAGCCTGCTGTGGGCTACTTGTCCTTCAGTACTCTGCTGATGCACATGCACCATTTGTTGATGTACTTTGAGCAGGTCCCACTCCAAAGAGTACAGGCTAAACATTCTGATGCCTTGTTGCTCCCATAGCAACAGTCTCTGCTGCACTGGGAATACCTAGGAGCTGTTAGTAGTAGCACTGGGGTAGGGAAAAGGAGAGAGCCAGGCTGGACTACCTGGACAGTCCTTTTTTCTTTCCTTACATCTCCTGGCAAATACATAGTTCCTGCTTCTGGATAGGCAAGAAAAAGAATCAGTCCAGGCTCCCCTATAAATCTGCCTACTCAGCAGAAGGTCTTAGCAGACTATATCCTCTGGGGCACCATCTGAGGCAAGAGTGCCATCAATTCCCAGGTAGGGATGGTCAAGGAAGATGAACTATGCTGCCACTCACTTTTAATGCTTCATTACATTTTCTTGTTGGGCCCCTGCCTCATTCAGTGTACAAGCTGGACTCACAAGGGCGGAGCAAATTAAGTTGGTGCAGGCTTTCTGACATTCTGGCATTTCTTAACTTTTGTGTGCTTGAATTTGCAGCCTTAATCATTTTTAACATAGTTTGTTGTGTGTAATTTCCTATATCAGTACTCAGAGACCCCAATCTATATCCCTTTGTGCTAAGTTTTATACAAGCATATTCAAAAACATAGTTCCTGCTTCAGAGCATTTAGAATCTAAAATCAGATTAGAATCTAAAACTCGTCTCCTGGTATGATAAGGGAATGGGCCAAATTCAGATTGGTTATGTAAATTAGATCCCCCCCCTCTAGTTTAGGTTCCGTCAATATGTATACACATTGTAATATGTAAAGGATTATAAATTGATGTAATATGTATACCATGGAGCCTGTAATGAGATGCAAAAGATGTAAACTAAAGTAAGGGGGAAGCTAATTTCCAATTTTCAGCTCTTTGATGTGCAAGTTACAATAATATAGACTAGACACCAGGAGAGTGGGTGTAAGTAGCTCAGTGGGTGCCCTGTTAAGTGTAAGGAAATCTAACTTATTTCATGATTGAATGTAACCCTTTGAGTCTATAATACTCTAAATACATAAGTTTAGAAAGACTGTAGAAGAAATCTAGGAGTGCATACAATGTACTTTGAAGAATCAATATGAAAGCATATGTTTTCTTCTGCTTAGGCTTCTAAACGTTTTTATTTTCCTTAGAGTCTGGTCTAACAAGTGGATTTAATTGCTATATTTAATAGAAAACCTGGTGTTAACTTAATCAAGTTGCTGGATTGGTTAAAGAGGCCAGTACGTCTCTTCTGGTTTTAACTGTGTGAATTTACTGATCTTGAAAAACTGAAGCCCCTTTTTAAAAAAATCCATGGAACAAGTGCAATACCGGCAGCAGAGTAATGAACACTTCCACACACTGCCCTTCTATTGCACCTCAAATCCAATCTGCAGGAGACGAGTCTAGGGTTAATTCAGTCTCCACAGCTGCCAGAGAGCTGTGGGCTGCCATGATTCTGCCCCACAGGGTACAAAAAAGACAAGTTGTAAGCATGCTTTAATCTCAGCCCAGCTCTATACCCTCTATTGAGGGCAGAGCTGTCCTCAGGCCTTCCCCTGACTGCGTACCTCACTGTAATGGCCAGACACTACCAGACCCTTTTTGCCTCTCTACATGCACACATCCTACTGGTCACTCTATTGTACTATGAGAGAAAATAAAAGCATCTTCTATAAAGGGGCTTTGTTTTCTTTACCTAATAACACAAGATGGAATTTAACTGAAGATGTATAACTCCATTAACCCCTTTGTTTCCAATTGTTATAGCCTTTCCCCTTCCCTAAACCTCTCAGTATGCGCTAGGGATGTTAAAGACTAGTCCACTATAAGATAGAGGCAGAAAGCGGCAGGGCCGCACAGCTGAGCTCGGGCTCAGCTGTGCGGCGTTGCACGTGTGGAGCCTGGGGTGTGGCATTTCAAAGCAGCAGCGCAGCATGGAGCCCGGGGTCAGTGCTGGAGACTCTTGTGTATTTCAAAACTGGCACCCCGGTGCATATTTCAAAGGAGGAATGTGAAAGTTCCTATGGACTAATCAATTAACTGCTAGTTAACATCCTTAGCATGAGCTTTTCTCTCTCACATGCTTTTACAACAAAATCATAATCTCATAAGAGCATTCAAGAAAGACTTAAAAAATAGAACTAGATAAGCATTGATGGACCTATCATCAATACATTTATTAGCCATGATGGGTAGAAATGGTGTCCCTAGCCTCTGTTTGTCAGAGGCTGAGAATGGGTAACAGGAGTGATCACTTGAGTATTCTTGCACAAGAGGGCTTTTTCCCGAGCGGGACCATGAAAGTATTTGCGCAAGAAGCACTGATTTTGTACATTACAAAGTCAGTGCTCTTGCGCAAATTCAAGCAGCCAGTGTAGACAGCTGGCAAGTTTTTGCGCAAAAGTGTCCGCTTTTGTGCAAAATCTTGCCAGTCTAGACGCACCCAGGGTATGTCTAGATTACATGCCTCTGCCAACAGAGACATGTAAAATAGGCTACCCGACATAGTCAATGAAATCGGGATTTAAATATCCCCGGCTTCATTAAAATAAAAATGGCCACTGCGCTGTGCCTGCTCGGCTGACCATTGGCACAGCATGCGAGTCAAGACGTGGATTGCTCTACAAGGAGAGCCTTTGTCGACCGCTCCTGTAAACCTCGTTTCACGAGGCATAAGGGAGCAGTCGACAAAGACTTCCCTTGTCGACCGATCCGCGACTTGACTCGCGTGCTGTGCCAATGATCAGCTGAGCTGGCACAGCGTGGTGGCCATTTTTATTTTAATGAAGCCAGGGATATTTAAATCCTGGCGTCATTGACTATATCGGGTAGCCTATTTTATGTGCCTACAAAATTTCTCATCACAACTGGCATCTATTGATATAATTGTAGGTGTGAGATCAGCAATTTACTAGGCATGGTGAATGGATTTGCACTTACTCCCCACTCAAGGTTGAGGTTCTGAATGGGGCACATTGAAGGGAAGCCATATTGAAATTGACATGACTGTTTCCAATGCTGTTTGGGTTTGATGCTTCATGGGTTTGTCTATACGGGGCTGAGAATTTCACTTAAAATATTCTGTTATGAAACTCAAAGGGGTGAGGCATATGTTCAATGTTTTTCTCAAGTAGAACTATGCTACTTTTAAAAAGCTTTGTTTTTCTGTGATACAGTCATCACTTTACCATGGAAGAAAACAAGCAAGAGAGGAGCCTGTCTCATCTTTTAGATGGCTTGGAAAATGCCCACAGAACTGATGTTCAACTTTACACCTCTGGACATTTGAACCATAACAAGCTTTATAAGCCCCAAAAGAATATAAAGCTAGGATACTGGGACAGCGCCAAGGAACTAACCCATTTCACAACAGAAAGAAAGCAATTCCCAACTCAAAATATTTGCAATGAGACAGCTCAGAAGATGAGAAATACTTCGTCTGATTTCACCCCCAGCTCCATACTGGTTCCAGTACGTGCCGGAACGGCCTCTCCTTTCTTCAGACATACTCAGGCACCTACGTCCAGTGTTCCTCTCCCAGTGAAAGGCCCACTCACGTCTACTCCTTTAGAAAATCAGTTGAAAGAACTTAAAAATAAAATAGAAGAGGAGACTGAAAGACACAAAAAGCCACTTAAAAGAGAGGAGTTAGATGTGCCACAGATGAAGGTGTTGAAGTACAAGCCAGTTAAAAACAGCCGACGTTGTGCTGCTGAAGTTACTAAGGATGAATACCAATTTATGCCTTCATATTTAGCTGGAGTGACTAAAACTGATCAGTTAAACAAGTTTTTACATTTTGAGAGGAATTTTATAGCCAAGCATGATCTGCTAGAGAATGACGTCACTGGGAGCAAAGCATCAGAGCGGCATGAAAAGAAATTGGCTGAGGTAAGAAAAAGCATGTCAATAATGATTACAGAAATAATACATCTTCCTCCCAACTCTTCCCTCACCCCCAGATATTGCAAACTTTCTAAACTGGACAGGGTAAGAAATGATAAATCTCATCATTGGCTACAAGTGGGGCTCTCTCATAGGAAGGCGTTACAGTAAGACCTTCATTTAGTAGGAATTAGAGATAGAAAAGACTTGTTAAGTTCTCATTTGGACACCCAGCTGCTGTTGCTGGGTCTCACGTTGATCTCCAAACAGCTGATTAATATTGCTGTGAGCAGGGAAATGTATTTCAGACTGGGCATTTGAGAAAATCATTTTTGTAGGAGCTTGAGTCGCTTGGCCCATGTTGTGGTGTGCAAGGGTGGGTGGCTGTGTGAACAAAAGTGTTCAAGGCCAAGAGAGAGTCATAGCATAGGTTGACAGTGTGTCAATATTAGTCCCACTGACCATTCATAACATTGGGTCTCTCTCAGAAGCACAGAATATTGGCTGATCTGATTGCTATCTGTTCCTGATAAGTTTAAGAATACAGGCTACCAGTGATCATTAAACATGATTTGATTTAGGATGAGGCACTGGACTTTGCATACTGGATGACTCCAGTGGTATATTCTGTTCAGATTGAATCAAGAGAGTCTGGGAGGCAATGTAGCCAAGGTTTTTGCTCCATCCTTGAGTTCAAGTGGTTTCTTGCTCTGAAACTGGCTTTGATGCTGCTTGGATGTGATTCTCAGAATGGGATGAAGGTGCTACTAGCAAAGCTTCTCTGGTGCACCATAGAATCTCTGCTTGCACTACAGCATTTGAGTCACCAACACTAATTGCTGAGTATTCTTGGAACCCACCAGGTTTCAGAGGGCTTTATTGGAGGATGCTGCTTTGATGATGAACGACTCTACTGATCGCCAGGGGACCTTAGAAGCTTATTTGTTCTTGACCATTGATACATTCGCTTCCACTAGTCCTCTGCCAGTTGTCTGCCTATGTCATCATGGTACCCAGTAGCCTTGTGAATCATGCTGTAGGCAGGGAGATAGAGAGCTAAGAGTACTGATGACAGAAATAGAAATCTGTGACTGCAGCCTAAAAGATTTTAGAAATGTTATCCTGTGGCAGTGCAAGAGGCAAAAGGGTCCTCCAATTTACATACTAGCTATTTTGTAAGAGTGCAGTAGAGAGGTGATCAGCAATATTGGCAGACAGAGTTGAGTCTTAGCAGGGCCATGAGAAAGATGCCTGTTCACCAGAGAAGGGAGACTGATACCCAGGCTTGAAAGATGCAGCTGCCAACCTCAATGCAAATACTGGGCAAACCGGCTGTTGGCGATGAAATGGGGGAAGAACAGCTCAGAAAGGAGTGCCTCCCCTTCTTATATGCCACCAACATACTGCAGCAGCTGCACTAAGACGAAGTGTATAGCTCTGATAAGGGGGCTGAATGCTTGAGGAAGGCTGTCCACTTTCAGCTCATCTGAATACAAGCTGCCATTTGGAGTAAGGATGTTAAGTAGCGAGTAAATGACTAATCATGTACTCAGTACAGTTTGTATTGAGTGCACAATTAGTTGGTAAGCGGCTACTGCAGCTCTGCAGTTTAAATGCAGCAGAAGCTGGGCATGCATGCAGGAGTAGGTTCGGTATCCAGTGCGAGCTGGGACTGCTTTAATCCCGGCTCTTGCTGGGTCCCAGGCTGTGCCTTTGCCTTTTAAATGTTGTAAGAGCTGTGTTGCTCTTACTAAACCATCTTGTTAGTCTTTAAAGTGCTACATTGTCCTGTATTTTGCTTCAGCTACCCCAGACTAACACGCCTCCATTTCTATCACTATGTCACAAGAGGGCGCTGCTGCTGCTCCAGTGATTAAGCCATGCAAGCAGAGCTCCTGACTGTGTATTATAACTGGCTCACAGAACAAGAGACCCGCAGTAGACAATCTGTACCTTTAACAAGTTTATTGCAAGCAATTCAGGAGCAAACTTTAAAAGCACTATATGTATATGTATATGTATATTTAGTACTTAAACAATTAAAACAAAAGTGAAAGCCATTAAAAGGCATTACAAGCAAAAAAAGGCATTAACAGCAATAATTAAATGGAATACTTAACAATCTAAATCTAATTCTTAGCCCAATTTAGAAGCCTAATTCTTAATACAATTTCACACACACACTCTCTCTCTCTTTCTCTTTCTCTCACCCACCCTCTGGGGCTTGTCAGACCCCAGGTAATGTTGGTTAATTTGGTTGAGGCGGAGGTCCAGCATGCACGTCACCCCAATATGCCAAATCAACGGACTCCAACTCGTGGGGAAAAATGGTGTGGTATATATCCCCTTGGCAGGTGCCAGTCCGGTAGGATGCCATCCACTGGTTGCATACAGTCTAGGTGGGGTGATGTCCATTAGTGACACCTCCTTCTTCTTACTGGTTGTGTACATGACCGACCGATTCAGAAACACCCAGTTTTTGCACCTTCCAATGTTGCTTGTCTCACCACGAGTGAGAAACAATGGTCTGTGCTTGGTTAGATTCTTCCCTTGTTACTTTTTCTTATCTGAAAATGCTGCCACAGCATGCATACACAGTTCTTTTATTTCACACAGTCCTTTTTCTTAAAGTTGTAAACAAGTCCATAATCCTCCAGGGCTCTCTTGCCTGAACCTCAGCATGGCCTCTCTTCAGTTCACTTACTGTTGAATCACTCATACTAACCATTCACACTACCCATGATTCGTGACAACTACATTTAAAAGGCAGAGCTAGAGTGCTGTTGTGTCTTTACCTTCGCTGCCCTCACCCCCCTGCTGCTCACTGTAGAGACTGTGCTGGGGAGGAAACCAGCTTTTAAGCCATCTCCCCCCAGCACCAGCTCCTGCTTCCCCTGCTCCTTGCTGCCTCTGATATAGAGTGAGGAGGGAATGTGAGTAGTCAACTCAATTACCTGATAAACCTAGGCTTATTGGGTAGTCAACTAATCGACTACTCTTTTACATCCCTAATTTGGAGGGAACGGGCTAAAAAGTTGGTTACTTCTACCAGCAATACATTTTCCTAGAGGAACTTTCTCCAATTGGTCCCAGGGTGCATCCCAGCTAGAGTAACAGGGAGAACAAGAGGAGAGTAGGCAAAAGAATTAACATCTACCTAAAAGAGCCCTCCCAGGAACAGCCTGAGGGTATGTCTACACGGCAAAGTTATTTCGCAATAACAGCCCTTATTTCGAAATAACTTTCCTAGCATCTACACAGCCAAACTGCTATTTCGAAATAAATACGAAATAGCGGAGCACTTATTTTGAATTTGGTAAACCTCATTCTACAAGGAATAATGCCAAATTCGAAATAGCTATTTCGAAATAAGTGCTTTGTGTAGACACTTATTTTTAAATAAGGGGCCTCCAGCCTTCCCAGGGTGCCCTGGTGGCCGCTCCAGCCTTAACCAAGAACACTTCTCTTCCTCCTCCACTCCTCGGAGCCCTTAAAGGGGTAGACTCTGGCCACAGTGCCTGTGCCAGCTCCAAGCCTGCAAGCCCAGAGCCAGCAGTCACTGCTCCTGACCCAGTGGCCCCAAAACATGAGCCAGCAAGTCACTGGCAGCCAGCCCTCCACTGCTCCTCAGGAGCAGTCTACCAGCTCCCAGGAGCCTGCCAGGACCCAGAGAAGTCAGGCGCCTTCCTGGTCCAGAGTGGAGATCATGGACCTTATTCAGGTTTGGAGGGGATGCCCCCAACGTCCATGATCTCCGTACTAGACAGAGGAACACAGCCGTCTATGGCAGGATAGCTGCCAGCCTGGCTACCCTGGCAGAATAGCTGCCAGCCTGGCTACCAAAGGCCACAAGCGAACCCAGGAGCAGGTTTGCATGACAATCAAGTTGGTCCGGTGAGACCCCCAACCCTGAGCCCTGAGCTTCCCCTCCCCCTTCTTCCCCTTGCTTCCCCCTTCCAGTTCCCTTCTCCCCTCTGCCTCCTTTCCCCAGTCTCACCAGAGTTTCATTCCCCGCCCCCCAGTTTTGTTAAATAAAGAGAGTTTATGTTCATGAAAATACGTGTATTTTATTTGACATCAGGAAGGGGAGTTAGGGAGGGGTAATTGTTAGGACATGAGGGATGAACGAGGCACAAGCCCCCCGTGAGGCAGACTAGGGAGGTTCTTAGTGCTCCTCAGGGTGGAAGCTCTCCCAAGGCCTCCTGGATACTGACAGCCCCCCGATGGGCCTTCCGGATGGCAGCCTGCAGAAAGTGCAGCCAGGCTCACAGCAACATGTCCAAGACAAGCACCAGAGTGCCCAGGGGCAGCTCTGGCTCCATGTTGCAGAGTGCTGTGGTGTCCCGAGTGAGGGCAATCAGAGCACGCAGAGAAAAAAATGTTTTGCTGTCCCTCATCGAGGTAGACAAGCAAGCAGGGAAACCTGAGAACTGGCTGTCTGGGGGGGGAAGAAAGGGGGGTCCCTTTAAGCACAGACCTCAGATAGCCTCAGGCAGCAGTCCCAGTCTAGCTCGTCTCCTCCATGTCAAGCCACGGTCTATAAAGGCCACTTGCTGGTCAGGACCCAACTGCTCACTACTTTGCTGTGTAGCTCTTGTAGCCAGGACTATCCCAGCAAGCTGCCTTCTCATTGGCTCCTTATAAGACTCTCTCTGATTGGCTGGGGGCTCTGTGCAGGCTCCCTCCAGCCTGCTTTAACCCCTTTTGGTCAGTGAGCGCCAGCTGCCCCACTGCACTTAACCAAGATTGCCTTATATTTCTCAGTCTCCATGATAACAGGATTGAGAGTATGGACTCCAAAGGCAAGACCCTCATCTGGATGGAAGCCTATAGTGTTATGCTCATTTATAACAGCTGAGGTATTGGCCTCAAACATCTAAAAATTATACTTCATATATTTAGGCCTCATATACTAATCTATAACACTCTTCACTAGGCTTCTCCTTACTTTCTCTTGGTCATTACAAGCAACACATGTTTTTCATTTTCAATCCGAGCCTTTCTTACTGCTGAGGAGGATTTTCCATTGTATTTTTCATCCTATGAACCATATTATGAATGAGAGAAGATCTTTCCTTGAGTAATCTCCTCCTGACCCTTTAACTTCATTGCTTGGTTCTCATAATATTTAATTCCATACAGCATCAGGAAGGGCTCCACAGATTCATAGAGTGGTGAAGGGCTGCTGTTTGAGAACTAGGGATGTAAGTGGGTAGTCAAATATCTGATAAGCCTAGACTTATTGGGTAGTTGAGTCGACTATTCACATTTCTGCTCCCTCGCCCCTTGCTGCCTCTATATCAGAGGCAGTTTTGGAGCAGGGGAGAGGGGGAGGAGCTGGTTCCTCCCAGCATTGTCTCCATGGTGCCACCTGCCCCTTCCCTCCTGCTTTCCCCCCGGCTGCTGCCTCTACTAGATGGGGGTAGGGGAGGCTGTCGTGAAGCAGCCTCTGCCTGCAGTTGCGGCCCAGTCTGGGGCTGCTTGCGTGCCCAGCTCCTACTACATTTAAATTGCAGAGCTGCAGTGGGGGTAGCTTCTGAACCTAGCACAAGCCAGGACTGAGCACCTTCCTTTATTAGCTAATCGTGCAGTTGATAAAAATTATATCAGCTGCACGATTAGCCAATTACCTGCCTCTTAACATCTTTATTGAGAACCTCTGCTTTAAAGCATATTCCTGAGTCTCAAGCTTATGCTGTGTTACCTGTATCCTTTAGAGTCAAGTGGGGATAATGCATCCAACACACACCTGCATGTGGTTGTTCATTCTGATTTTTTTTTTTTTTATTGCAGGAGCTCCAGAAGATCTGTGATTGTAATCGTCCTCATTTCAAACGGCTACAGGTCTTTGGGGATGTGTTTGAAGATATTTGCAACAGCTCTTTGATATTTGGTGATATTCTGAAGGAAGTTAAGGTAAGAGACACCAATTGGGCTTGGCACTTCATGATCTAAAGGTTCTTCAGCTGTGGTTTTATGTTACTTTGTATACCTTACTATGCACTTAGGGGCTATTCACAAAATGTGAATAAGCTAATAGTGCTCTATGCAGTCAGCATGTCCACCTCTTCCTTGCTTCAGTAAATGAAGTTACGTATATACTTACATTTTATTTCTCCCTGACCTCTTGGCCGCACATTAAAATCAGACACACCTGTTAATCCTTCCTGTGCTCTTGACGTACTCAGAGAATCTCCTAACTTGTATGTAATTGCTGTGCTCCCACAGGGGTTGTATGATACTTTTCTCATTTGTGCTCTCCCATGGCTCCTCTGCTCTTTTTAGCTAAACGTACAAGACCAGAGATTTGAAGTGCTGAGAGAGAGCAATTGTAGAAAAAGTTTGTCTGCCTGTGTCATGGCTCCTTCCCCACTCTGGCAAGGTCGGGGGGTCTCAGTGGACCACCTTGATTTTCATGCACACCTGCTCCTGGGTGGCCAGGCTGGCAGCTCTCGTGCCCTAGACGGCCGCTTTCCTGTGCCTAGTGCGGAGGTCGTGGACAAGGTCCACGATGTCTGCACTGGACCAGGCGGGTACCCGCCTCTTGCGGTCCTGGGCAAGCTCCTGGGAGCCGCCTGCCTGGTCCCGGGAAGAGGCGGGGGGCTGGGGGGG